AACTAGAGGCTCCACTCGAATCCCATTCATCGACAGGGTCGGAATAAAGATGCCGCCGTGGATCCTCCGCCTGGCGTGCGCTCGTCGATGACTCCGAGGAGGCCGAGGAGCGGAATAGACAGGAGCGGATTCGACGAGACGCGCGTGGCGCGGTGAGGGATCGTGAGGGATCCCTTCCCGTCGAATCCCCCCGAACGAGTGGATTCCCGATTCCGCAGCCACGATGCACGCCTCGCAGAAGTGTTGTCGATGACAAGCTGCCAGATGTCTCCGTGATATTTGGACCCTCCCCGCCCCTTGGAGCCTTTAGTTACAGTCTCTTTGCAAGAATTGGCTGAAAATAGTCGTTTGATATATCGCCAGAAAGGCCTTTCGGAGCTCATGGCTCTATTTAGGAAAGCCAATCACGGACGGGCATTCGGCTCAGACGTTTCTCACTGATTTTACCAGGGCAAACCAGATAAGGGTTAGAGGGAGGTCAAACCGGGTCCAACCCTTCCTCAAAATTGAGATAAGGCTAAAGTGTTTCATAGATGTCGCATAGTGTTCCCCCCCTGCCCCCCCTTCCCCCCTCCCCTCTTTCCCCTAAGGGCTCACGAAGACGACGGAAAACATTTATTAAAAATCCGTTTTCCTGCAACAGGTATCTTACCTGATCGAGGGGAATAAACATTTCTATACTTCCCTTTCCGCATTCTGCATTCGATCGTCTCGAGACATCGGTGTGGCCATACTGTTTCAAACATAATGTCCACGTCCGAGTTCTTTTTTTTAATACATAGTTAATTTGGCGCATGTCACTTCTATTCTTTGCACCGTTCTCTTTCCTGAGATCTGCTCCTCGATGGACACAAATTAGATTTGAAGGGTGACTTATAATAACAGGAAAAAGCCGGCTCGCAGTGCAGATAACTTACTCCGAGATCGTAGTAACAGGTTGTTCTCCCCATATCATGGAGACCTGTCATGGAGACCTGTCATGGGGACCTGTCATGGGGACGGTGACAAGCCACAAGGTCGTAAACATCGTCTCCATTTTCGGACGGTCTAAAATTGTTCTCTCTCCCTCCTTCCTCGACGTTGCGTTCCTCGAGCATGGTGATGCGGGCTCTCGATCCCTAATACATTTAATTGTGAGGACCTGAGACCACTCTTTACCGGGGGCATATGGGTTTGAAGTGATCCATCCTCATAGGAATCCTAAGGCGCTCGTGGCCGTGACGCAACAGTCTCATGATCCCTTTCTTCGACTCTTCCTCTCGACGATCGCTTCGACTCCTCGCTTCCCCTTTCACTTCGTTTCGTCCCTGCCCACGACCGTCTGCCTCATCCTCCAGGCATCATCTCCTCTCCAGGAAGGATACTCTCTGCATCTCCATCATTTCATTGAATGATGTCTAGCCGTTTCGCCCGGGGGCGGGAAAGTCAACGAGAGAAATTCTCAGTTTCGGGTCAAGTGGAAGTCATGGGGGAGGGACGAGAATTCTACATTTAGGTGGCAGAAATAGAAGAAATGCAATGCATCACTCTTCACCCAATATGTCTTCAAGGATGTCTTCCACTTATACCAACCAACTTGATTCTGAATCCAAGTGCTGGGAAGGGAAAACTCCCTTCATGGACGCGAGGAGCCGCATTCCCCCGAAAGGAATTTCATATACAGACGGCGGAGTGAAGGCAATGAGAAACCAGACGGTAAAGACAAATTCTCTTTCCCGATTCCTTTTTTCCCTATGGAAAGAACGGCTTTATTCGGGATGACCTCTCTCCTCTGACCTGTATGGAACAACGTTAGAGCAAGTTTCCGAACCTCCAAGAAAGAGACGAAAACTGCTTCCAAGATGGACATGGAGTGAAACTTCATGAACGTCACAACATTTTTGTCTGCATGCGGACAGGGTCTATCAATAGTTGGATCTCCATCTACCAGAAAGAGATTTTGACGTCTCTTTCAGTACAACGGCCAACACGAACCTCTTAAGTAACAACAAACTGAAGTTATTGAATTCCTGATACGAGGATTTCTGCTTCCATTTCCACGCTGACATTTGTTTGCAGTTTGGCTTTCTCCTATTAGCCCATCGACGAGACAGGACTGGGTTCATATTCAACGAGGAAGGAACATGACTTATTGCTGCGGTCTCACTATAGAAACCTTTGGGGACTTTCTGAATGGAATGAGCGCCATTCCGTTGAATTAACTTCTCTAAATTCAAACCATAGGTCAAGAGATAGCGTAGATTCTTCATCAGCTCCAATCGCCACTGTGCTGCTGCTCGAGGTGTGTCTTCGGCACGATATTGCAGAAACAGTCTTGAACAAACTGTACGTGACGCACAAGAGAATTTACACACTGGATTTATGCCGGGGAGCGTGCTCAGCCTTTTACATGGAGAGGTCATCGAATATAGAAGTCATTTCCACGTCGTGGAAGGAAAAGGCATTCACCCTTCCGTTTCTTCACGTTTCTCTTTCCCATCCTCCCCTGCCTATTTCTCTTTCCCTTCCTCCCCTGCCTATTCGTGGATTCCTCTCAGGAGAATGCGGACCCTCTGCTCTTCACATCCATGGAGGCTCTCGCCATCAACCATCCTGGGTGATCAGCTAATAGCGAAAAAGCGGGGGTCGGGCCTCATTTACGTCTATTCCTCGATCGCTTGGGACACGTACGCCACCTGGTTTTAGATTATATAACCAGACACCTCTGATGGGATAGTATGGCGCAAAGTTTTGCTCGATTCGAATGAAAACGCGCCCAATTTAGGAAGAGCCACTTGGTGCATTGGCTCGTGGTGAAAATCTCTTTGGAACGATCTCGTGGTTTTGCGATCGATCTTGCCGATTTTGAGATACAGATATGAAGTATTGACTAGTACTCGATGATGTACTTGATACTGCACTTAATGGAAGGAGCTCCAAGTTCGTAATTAATGGATATATTGTTTATAGAATGAAAGAGAGTACTTTTGCAAGAGAGCGCATTTCAATTTTCAGGTTGAGGGTAGAGCTTACCCTTAAGCTCGGTTAAGGCCCTGCCACGGCGGGAACCTCTCGCCGGCTCCGGGGAGTCATTATGATTTCCATTTCCATTCTATATACTAAATGCGTTTGTGCTTCAGTTGTTCCAGACCTAGCGGATGGCCACTCGAAGAAGATGATGTCCTTCATTGACTCGAATAGGAAGGAATTCCGTTATTACGTTCATTCCTCGCTTCTCGGAACAGCTAACAATAGTTCGCTCCCTGTCGCACTTGCGTCTTAATAAGCAGCACGGCAAGATGAGACCAGTAAAGCACATCTTCATTGTTTGACACGTTTCATGTTCTCGGCCGAACGTGGATTCGATGATGACATTTTCGAAGCCATGAGACACTGCTTGATTTTGGGGGTGGAACATTTTCCATGCTGAATTTCGATCCTAGGAGATTCGATTCGATGAGAATCACCCTGAAATAGCTTCGAATTTCAATGCCAGATAACAGTGGTGTGCCCAGAAAATCTCAATAGGGGGGGGGGGGGAGACAAGAAAAATTGGTAACCAACCCTGCATTTATTAATTACACATTAAGTCACATTAAGGGTGACATGCACCAGATCTGTTTAACTTAAACTAATCAGATCTCACAATGGTCCTCTTTGGGATTTCAAGACAAGAAAAATTGGTAACCAACCCTGCATTTATGAATTACACATTAAGCCACATTAAGGGTGACATGCACCAGATCTGTTTAACTTAAACTAACCAGATCTCACAATGGTCCTCTTTGGGATTTCGTTTCACGGAGGCAATCTTATTCCCATAAACGGCCATTATGAAACCAGATCAGTTTAAAGTTAAATGGATCTGGTGCATGTCACCCTAAACGCCACTGCCTGCTAAATCAGTAGTCATATTTTTCGATCGAACCTCGTAGTTTTCGAAGATACGAGATTCTTTCGTCTGCATAAGACAAAACTGCAGTAAGAGCGGAACGTGTGAGCAAAATGGGAACAACTTCTGAGTGCTGAAAGCCGTAATGGTTGCACCTACTGGCGTCAAAATATCCGCCGAGAGGAAAAGGAAAGAACGATAGACTACACAGTAATACCCTTCTTAGCGCTCATTATAGCATTGTATAGTATATATGGGAATGCGAATCGAGCTCATAACTATTGACTTGTATTAATATTTTGGATTTCCCCCCTTTTTTTTGGTTTTCAGTAAAAACTTTTCTCTCCAGGATCAAGAGCGCTATAACGAAACAGCGCTATATGGGGTAGCGCTAAGCGGGGTATTACTGTACTGTACCACGACTCATTTAGAGTACTACGACTGCGACCGAAGATGGCGCCACAGGACACGCAATCTCTGCACTGGTAGCTTCAAGAGTGACGTCATACCTCAGATCCCCTCGACCTCGTGTTGCTTATGCTCCCTCCTGATAATGACTCACTTTTTCCGTTTGTAAGGTCTGCGGATAGCCTACGTTTTCATCGCAGACGCCAAAGTCCAGACCCACGATTTAGTCCTTCAGTGGATACGGATGGACTTCATATGTCTTAACGTTTGGTTTGTCCTTAACTTCGGCCTAGGCTAAGCTACATTTTCGAATTGACTTTGGCTTAGTCCCATCCCCTTCCACGGTCATTCCCATCGTAGTTCTAGTCCAAAATGAAATGGCTGAGCAGCTCCATTAAACACAACAGTGAATTAGCGGCTGTAAGCCTACTTGCCCCTGAATTTACAAATGTGCCTGTTCTGTACCTATCCACTCTCTGCCCAGATTACATTGTTTCCCCTGTTTGCTTCTGCTGTCAGTCATCTGACAACCAAGCTCCTGCCTGATCATGAATCGATTGTTTGGGAAAGGAAAACCCAAGGAGCCACCTCCAAATCTGACTGATTGCATCAGCAGTGTATGAACTTCTACTTCTTTGTTTATATTCTCTATGCTGTGCTGAATGTTAGGCAAATAATTTAGGCAAGCCCTATGTTATATATAAACCATTTGTCCATTGTAATGCCATTGAAAATCCAGGTGGATGGCCGAGCAGAATCCGTCGACAAGAAGATCGCTCGACTGGATGCTGAGCTGAAGAAGTACCGAGATCAGATGAAGAAAATGCGTGAGGGACCAGCAAAAAATGCTGTTAAGCAGAAGGCCCTCAGAATACTTAAGCAGCGGAAGATGTGAGAAGAGATAGGAAGTGTGTACCACTTTTCCTTTCTGCCTGACTCATTTGAGAACAATATGCCTTTGCAGGTATGAGCAGCAGTCAGACAACCTACGACAGCAAGCTTTCAACATGGAGCAAGCCAACTTTGCTGCACAAACACTCAAAGATACCCACACAACAGTCCAGGCCATGAAGACGGGAGTAAAGAGCATGCAGAAAGAATTCAAGAAAATCAACATTGATCAGATTGAGGTAGGCAACCAAACATTTGCACCAGTTTTAAAGTGTTTTTTGCATCTCTGTCTGCCTTGATCCATCATGCAGTTTGGAAAGTCAAGATTCAATGGCTGGCTTGACTTTTGCTATATATTAGGACTTGCAAGATGATATGGCAGACATGCTAGAGCAAGCCGATGAAGTCCAGGAGGCATTGGGTCGTTCATATGGGATGCCAGACGTGGATGAATCAGAGCTGGAAGCAGAACTTGATGCCTTGGGAGATGAGCTTGGCTTGGATGCAGACTCTTCCTACCTGGATGAAGCCGTCAGTGCACCAAATGCTCCAACCAGGGAACCCGGTGTTGACAGCATCAGGGTCAGTAATTCAAGGTTTTTGTGCATTTCTTTTGGGTACTTTGATGAGTTCACAACTGTCACTCATGCTGTGTCCAAACATTATACTGCAACAGAACTTTGATATATAGACAGGGCCTTAATGTCAAAACCTGTCAAGAAAGTATGGATTAACTGTTAGGCAAGGTCCTCCAAAGGGTACAAGTAATGGATAACTCTTTCTGTCTCTGTTCATTCTTCTGCTTTTGTCTTTCCTTGGGTCTGTCCTTGAATTTTCTGCCAGTCTCTGTTAAAGAAAGACTTGGCTCAGACTATCCAGAGATGCCATTGATATAGGGCCTTTTGAATTAGAGGAAAACCATAAACTTTGATGTCTCTTGATACTGAGTGTCCTTTGATGGTAGCAGTTTGAAATGCACCTGTTAGAGAAAATTTTGGGTAGACCTACAAAGATCATGTTCCTTCATGCATTACTTTTCCTGCTTTTAGTCATTGCATATAATCTGTTTTCCATTATTAGGATGGAGTTCAGGTGGATGAATTTGGCCTGCCAACAATCCCAGCAACGTGAAATGGCCATTATATGCCTCAATTCCTACAATATGTGTTGAATCAGTGAGTGTGTGAGTAGATGATGAAAGTCATTCTGATGTGATATGTGTCATGAAGGACTGGAAGGGCACCCTCAGTGTCACTCATCAATTTAAAATCCATTAGAGATTCTGTTTTTGGACCCTTGCAAAAGTGCCATCACCTCTGATCATCACTCTATGACATTGTATTGAGGATGTGTTCATGTCCAGGCAACAAGAATAAGATTCCTTCTATGTCTTTCCAGTTTTGATTACCATATTTACATCCCCATCCTGTCTTCAAAGTCACACTCATGGTTCTCAGGAGATGTGAAACAATGAAAATCAGGTTCATATGAAGAATATAATCATGAGAAATATTTTAATGCTCTGGACCAACCTCTAACAAAACCATTGCTAAAGCACTCATTGCAAGTCATGCAGTTGCACAGAATCAATCCTAGCATTCTGTCCCAGTTAATTATACCTTTTTTTTCATATGAAATTGATCTAATGGGTTTCCTTTCTATGAACTCAAGACCACCTACAGGTTTTCTGACATTATGTCCTTTATTTTAAGTCTGCAGATTAATTTTTCAAATCTGTCCACAGACAGATTTGAAAAATTAATTGCATATGTGAAAGACATCGGTTGTCTGCTGGTTAGGGAAACCAACCTCAAGGAAGGATACCCTGGTTCAATCCCTAACAGAGCTCATAGGTTGTCTTCCCATGTAGTAAATAATTTATTATTGTAGCAATGGATAGCTTTTAAGTTGGCCTTATTTAAAACATAACAGTGTCAGTGGCAAAAGAGGGTGCCATTTCAATGATTAGGACAGAGCAGTTATAATAAGCAAGTTAGTGTTTATATTCATATGTTAAGTCCTTTGCTTGACAATTTCACTGCTGCAGTATGTTGTATGGCCCAATAAGTGGGTGTTCATATGACATGCTGGTATGTTGTATGGTAGCAAATGTGGTAAATTTAACATGGAAATGTGAAACCTGAGTCTCTGGCAGAGCCCAAAATTCATAGTGTAAAACCCCTTTATTCCTAGCACAAAACATACTAGAATCCCTCTTAAGCCCTTTGAAGCCCACAATTTTTTTCAAGTCATAAATGCACAAATGCTGAATCATGGCTTGGCTAAACCAATCATTTACGTAGCCGTCCAACTGAAGGCCTGACATTACATGCGCTTGACTTACCTAATCATTGTTTCAGTAGTCTTGTCAACTTGACTATTGAAATGATTTATGTCCAAATTGACTGCACTTAATTGACACTTGTGGGTAATTATTTTTATATTAGTCACTGGCAAATTTTAATCAAATTAAATTGTAATTTACTGGTTGCTCCAGCAAGGATGATTGGTAATATATGGATAATTTATGCAGCACAGGCCCTCTCCCCACATATACAATCATTTAATAAAATGAGAAGGTCTACACTTATGGGGGAGAAGTGAAAGATGATATGAAAGTAGTTGGGTTTAGACCTTGTAACTGGGTTCAGGGGCCAAATGAATCTGGCTTATGAGTGAAACCTGGTAGGCAGGGGATTGTGTTCTGGTGGTGGTGGTCTATTTCTCTACTGACAGGTGACTCACCTGCTTACATGGGGAGTGTCTGCTTAACATGAAGTAACACACATGCCACTCTGAGGGCCATGTCTAGAAGATTGAGTGCCACTGCACTGCCAGTCACTCATGCCAGTCATGGGCCTAGACAACCCATGAGGTGCCCCTAAGTCCTCCTCTAGGATGGTAGAGGGGTGTCCCTGCCTGAGGGACTGTGATCTTAATTGTAGTATCAGCAGGGCCGGCCATAGCTATTTTGACGCCTTGTGCAAAGAGACTCCCAATGCCATCTCCCCCCCCTCAGAAGGGAGAAGGGTCAATCCTTAGCATCCAAAAAGATCCTGAAATGGAGGTCATTTCCACTTTCTGGAGTAAAACTGGGGGTGGCATTCATTATTGCTTCATTTATTTTAGCACCCCTGGTGAATTTATGTTGTGCAGGGGCACATGTGGCACATGCCTAAGGCTGGCCCTGAGTGCTGGTGCCTGCGTCAAGCAGGCATCCCCCTGTTTATGGTAATATGTCCATTGTTGTGTGTCTGCTAGATGTCTGGCCAAAAAAACATAAATAAAGATTTTGACTTAATTACATGATGGACTTGAGTGAAGAACAAAGATTGCTTAATCCCATGAGCCAAATCACAAATACTCAGAAGAGGATTGGATTGCTCTTCACACAATACCAGGAGAATGGGTGGTTAGATTGATATGATGTAATGAGTGGGTGTTCCAAAAAATTATGTGTAAACCACATGTACTAATGGCTCCTGTTATGAAGCATTACAGAAATAAGTTTTATCAGATGTTGCAAGAGGAGAATTGGGTCAAGATACTATTATTACAGGGAGCAAATGAGATAGTTTTCAAGTATCAAATGCTACTTCATAGAAGCAATTAAGTGCATGGGTGCTGCACCTCAGAGGCATTTGTCTGCATTTTACTCTTTAACCCTTTGAGCAGTATGACTGTACCGGTATGGCCATACATCCATAGATGTCAGTCACTGAAGTCAGTCAAACTGTTCGAGCAAGTGGAATTTTGGCACTACTGCTGCAGTCAAATATTCATATCTCATGAAGCCATTGAGTGCCAATCTCCATTTTGGTGTAGTTTGAAATGGCATACCATGCACATTTGAATGCTGCATTGTAACCACAAATTCCTGAGGTGACAAGTGCAGATATTGACCTCTGAACTTGATCAAACTTTTGGTCAAGTAGAACTTCTTGTTTAAAATTTTGAGAAGAGTGTGCAGAATCAAATTAGAGATGGCAATTTCACATTCAAAGTGACACCAGAATTAAACTTGTATCTTAACTAGAAGAGAAGTTATTGCAGAAACAGTTTCATAATTTCAGTCCATGTGGACGCTGAGCCAAAAATAGGTCATATTTAAATTCATATATCTGGAGATCTATGTGAGATTTAAAAAATCAGTTGAAATTCATTTCTTTAAATTGTTCCTCTACATGTATGCCGATTTTAATCTAAATCAGAGATGGCTGAATTCAAACTCTGGTCAAATTGGCATGAAATGACTCCATTCCATTTCTAAAATTGAGTGGACAGAGGTTGGAGGTGTGTTCCCAAAGAAATACCCCTTGGGGCATGCACTGTCTTAAAAAACTCACTGCTCAAAGGATTAAAAAAGTTACAAGCTTATTCCCAAGCACATGGGAACAGTTGAACAGCTAAGCCTCATCAAAATATCTCCATGCCCTCTTTAGAGTAAACCAAAGCATATGTAACTAGCATCCTCTTGCATGCATAAACAGTTCTTCACTCCTTTAAAGTGTGGCATTCTAATTGCATAACTTATTTCTCATTGAGCAAAATCATATTTAATTAGTCTGGTTGCTCATGTTGAAGTTTTCAAGACTTAAAGGAATTTTTTTTTCTATCCTCACCCACCCAGTAGAGGCATTTCTTGGCATGTACTGATGCAGCAAATTATATTTAGGCATGTGGAGACTTCTTCGGAGGAGGAAGTGACATGACATGAATGGCACGAAATAGACTAGTGTATGGGAATATGGTCCTCTTTGGTCATGCTGGGACACTTGCCTGCGAGGAGACCTGGGTTGTTTCACAGGAGGTCATTCTCTTGTTTGTTTACCCCCTGTCTGCTTGCAATGGCAATGAATTGATTTCCTCTATAATCGGCACATTGGTATGCATCAGGAAATCAGTGCAATTAAAAGTCAATAGTCACTGGAGAACACAATGGTGGTATTTTTCTGAAGCACCTGATCAATAAATTAAAAAACACAATCAAGTGAGGGTCAGAGCAGATCACAAACTTCAGCTGCTGAAACAAGGGCGAGGTAAACAAGGAAACAAAAACCAGAACTTGGACTAGAGAGTATTTTGGCATTTTAAGTCTTTGAGAAATAGGAGTAGTAGAAGATTCCCAGGGCTGAACTGGAGAACCAAGAAAAAGCAGTCCACCATGTTGTGAATGTCAGGACTCCTCTTGCCACTTCCTCAGAAAACACCTAAAGGGGCAATTGCACATAGATATAACAAATTCTAAGATTAATAATGGATGCATAGGTACTGCTATTATAATTCAGAGAGGAAGTAACCTGTCGAAGAGAAGAGAGCGTAACAGTCATCTCAGAAGACAGAGTCGGTTCCAGTTTTTCTGGACTTGGTTCAAAGTCTGCTGGGCATTCATTCCTGCTCCACCAGCTGTATCCTCCTGCAATAAGGAGCAATAAATCAAGTCACAGCAGTACAGCAATCATAGTCAGGAGGAAAAACAAAACAAACCTGCACTCTTGAGTAGGAGCCCTTGATAGATGAGAAGGAAGAGTGGTGCTAGATACTGTAGAGTCACCACACACAGGTAGTAAAACACCCGAGCCACCTATGACATACAAAGAGAAAAACACATCCAAACATAATCAGCTTAAAAACAAGGAACTCAGAGAGGAGGATGCAGGCATACACTTCGCTGGAGATCTCGATTGGATATCTTGCCTGCTTCCTTCTTCTGCAGTTCCATTCTCTCATGTGCAAGATTCAGGTATGCTTGGAGGTAGAAGGGGAGGAGAAGCAATCTCACTACTCCTACACCCAAGATCAACCACAGCCTCAGGCTTTCAAAGCCATCTTTTGACAGTCTAAAAATGAAATAATGGGAACTATTATATGCTGGCAAATGCCATAGTGCAAGCACACCTACAACAAATGCTCACAGTGGTTCATCAAGTCCAGGCCAGATACGAGTGGTGAAATAATCTCTTGACAAAGGTCTAACCCATGCAATCACTACACCAAAAGGTGAAATGAAAGAGATATGAAGGAGGAGCTGAAGAAGGCGCCTCTCAGTGGTGAAGCGAAGTGCATCCCAGTGCATACGTGCCAGTCGCAAGCCTGGGAATGTAAGAAACCCTCCCAGTGCCGCCCCAATCAGGGCCAGGATGAACTTGAGGAATAGTTTTGATGCTGGGCCACTGAAAAGAAAAGAGAACTCAATATCTATTGTGATCCTTTCTGCCTCAACTAAATGGAATGAAACAGTGATCATGCCTAGAAGGAAGACCATGATGGGCAAGAAAGGAGGAAGCATTTGCACTAAAAGCTGAGTATGCATCTTCAACACCAAGTTCAAGAGAAGACTCATCGACTATGAGGACAGCCATTGCCACAACTAAGTATGTAGAAGCAGCAACAATACAAAGGGACCTTTCACCCATTGCTTCTTCCCCACGAAAGTATAGGGCTGTGAGGGAAAACAGCACTTTCCTAATGGAAGAGATTGAGAATGTTTCAATATATCCACTTGCAGTCAGACAGCAGGATATAAAGGTAAAACCTCACAAAGAGAAGCCAATGACAAGGAAGCACCAGACTAGGCTGAGATTCATTTCATGGGTGGAGACTTGCCAGGAAGTATAGATCTTTAAAAGAAAAAAAATGCACATATATATTCATGTGGGGAAAAAAATCAAGATATCTTCATGATATCTGAAAACAGGAAAATTCATCCATAGTTGATCAATCACTAAGAGACCTCTGTGATGAGGTAGACAAGGAGAGTGAAGAGTCCAAAGTCCACCAGCCACTGATAATCCATATAAAAGCGTAGATGAACAACATCATATGGCTGTACTTTCACGGCATCCAGCTGCAAATAGATAATGCCAGCTCAGGATCTTCAAGAGATTGAGTCCTTGTCTCATAAATGCCCATAAGGTATACCTATCTAAGGTTCATAGAAAGGCGAAGTTGAGCCACAAAAGGGTACATGTGACAGAATGGAAGCAGTGCTTGTCTTGGAAGCTTGACAAGATGTGCATTCATGATTACAATGAATTTCACCTCTCCTCTCATGGCCCAACTACACCTCAGTATGAACCTCAAGCCCACCTGGATGTCAATACTGCGAGGAACCATAAAGGTGTCTGACGTTCCATTTTTCTGATGACCCTTCCCTTTTGCCTTGGGAACTCTCACCAGAGACAGCAGTTCCTCATCCGTTGGATGCAAATACCTTATCAGTCTAAAACCCAACCAATCAGGCAATAAGTTTCATCAATCCTTCTTATCAGAATAAACATCGATCATCAGTTTCATAAATTCATATCAATATGATAATAGCCTGAGAGCCAGGTGCAATATACCTTCTCTTACAGATAAGATTCACATGAGGCATACAACAGTGTCAGTGAGTAATACATTGTAAAAATGTATCAGAACATACTATTTTGCCTAACAATGAATGAGTAAGGCTTACCCAGTGTTGCAAAGAAGCCACTTGGCAAATGAATACTGTGGCATGATCTTCTGTAGAATGCTGGCCATAATCATGGTGGTCACCAGTTGGAAGCCAAACAGAGCCTGTTACCCAGACAATGGATACTCATCAACTGACCTCATAGAAGTCATATCCTAATTTTTATCATTGAAAAAATTACAGACTTTTTCTTCTTTTTTTTTTAAGTGCTATCAGATAGCTACAATAGGCAGTGTTGGGTATTTTACAAATGAAAAAGGATTAGTTACATAGTTTTGAGTTTTAATTACAAGTATTCCATCTCAAAAGTAACTATTTACAAGTAGAAATACTCTTGAGTGAAATGTAACTATTTACAAGCATAATTTAAATTTTCTAAACCACATTGACTACAGACTGATCCTTATTCCAATATTACTTCAATGAATGACATTAACATTTTGTACTATCTTCACCCTTGCTTTGTACTGCATCTTAGGTGGGTTTACACATCCAAGCATGAAAGTTGCTTATGTAAGGAATCCCTTCCATAAAAACTACGTCCTTAAAAGTATTTCCAAAGAAATAGAATTCTCTATTTTTTAGCCAACTGTGTTAAAATGCCAGCTGGCACTCTCTTACAAATTTATTTAATGCAATATATTTGTAAATGTGAGAGGAGCTACTTTTCAAAGCTAGCATCAACAGTTCTGCTTCTCTTCTTGTTATAAATGTCTCATATACTTTAACACTTGCTTGACAGCAGCACTGACTGATGGGGACATAATGAACAGCTTGCTTTTGCTTTGCAATTTCAGTAATGCCAAGTATGAATGTAGCAATATTGTGCCCCTCACTTACATCTGAAATTGTGCATCAAGAAAGTAGCAATTTACTTTTGCATCAAAGTTAACATATGGCCAGTGCCATATAAGCCTCTACAAATAAACGTATTACCATAAAACATGGTTTCTACATCTTTACTTTTACTTTTACTTTTACTTTTACTTTGTTACTTCATTACTGCTCAATACCAAAAATAGGCCTACATGATTTGCAGTGAAGTCCGATGTGCGACCCGCCTTTCAATGGAATCGCATTTAACTGAACAAGATTGGTAATTATGCCTAAGGAAATTCGAAAGTACGCGATTCTATGCAACCAAAATTCATCTGTGTCGTCAAGCCAATGAGTATGGGATTAGATGCAATAGTAATCTAATACAAATTCGATGACAACGTTAGCCATGTCCTTTCGACCGCACAAGATGCATCAAATACTGATCAGACATGGGATGCCATAATGGGAAAAATTATCTCTTTACGTCCCTATCCAAATCCTGAGCCATGCGTCAGGGGTTTTCCATTGTTGGCCAAACAGCCGCAAATTAATTTCACATCTCAGCTTGGATGCTAGCCACTCACAAAACGGGAAAGTTGAATGCTCACCATTTTTTTTCTTCCACTGAGAAACGATGAAAAGGACAAGACCGATGAGAAACGAGATGGTTTTGAATTAAGCTTTCCGTAAAACTCGAACGAGTGAGACGCAGGAGTCACGGATCACGTGTACCCATAAAGGGGTGCCATAGAGCAGTGATGCCATATCCTCAAGGGTTACCATCCGATCTTCGCAAGTCTAATACCGTCTCGTACTCGGGTTTATGGCTATCCCATTTCATAAACGAGGGAACTTGACAATCACCGAAGCATTGCAGTCTTATTGTAAGACTGCATTTCCTGGGTTTGGTGTCCTGGTCATGAGTTTAATCGATGAAGGCTTGCACACTTCGTTCTGTGTAGCTAAGAGGAATACAAGTTCAGGGTAAAGGTTTCCTTTTCTACGCTTTTTGCCGAAAAAGATGGAGGTGATGGAAGCTCCAATTCGTCGAGACAGTCTGGCCTCGGAATGCATCTCCTTCAGATCGGGCAGCACATCTGGCGAAGCATTCGAGGAAAACTTGGACGGTAAGTCGCTTCTTCGTCCACTTCCATGATAATTTTCTCAAGGTAACCAGGTGCCCACATCACACAGAAATGAGCGAAAGTGAGCTGAGGACATTGCTATGCGATTTGGAGAAGCGAAATCGAACGTTAGCGACCGAGATCGGTATGATGGAGGCATTCCTCAAAAAACAACAGGCCATGGAGGCCTCTCTATCGACGAGGAATCGCAGCATGGATAGCAAGAGCAAAGCTCCTCTTCTTCGAGACACATCCTCGAGTAGCAGCACCGAAAAATCCAGAATTCCTACCAGGTATGACACAAACGACCTCGGAATATTCAAACCTGGCACTCTCGAGTCGACTGCCTCGAGGTTTCCGGCATATTTTCGTTCATTTTGAGTTTGAACGTGGGACAAAAGAAGGAGCTGGTGAGCGGAGCACTCATGAAATGCCACGAAGAGGCCGAGGACCTCGAAGACAAGATGGAATTCGGTCGAGGGGAAATGGAGATCGCCATCGACGTCGCCGAATCGCAATTGGGCGACGTGAGGAGATCCAGGGAGAAATTTCTATCAACAGTCCAGTTGTGGACCGAGACGATCCTCATGGAAGACAGAGATGGGGAAAGCGTCCCTATCACCCGGTACCCCACCGAACCCGTTCAAAAGTAGGACATCCCCTTCCCCATCAGAGAAAAGTATCCCACCGAGAGCAAGGAAGAATCGTTCATCGATGGCAGGCTGCTGGAGGGGGAGCTGAAAGGGAAGAAAGGAGAGGAAGAGAGGGAGAAGCTCAGAGGGATGGAGCTGAGGAGGGAAATGAAGAAGAAAAGCGAAGTCCTGAAGGCGAAAGAAGACCTGAGAAAAGTCTTTTCACCCGTGGACCTTGCTGCCATGCCGATTCGCATTCAAAAATTCCACGAGAGACTGGTTAAACACGAAGCGAAGTCTAGGACTCTCAAGGATTCATTACGTGAATTTTACAACAGAATCTTCTCGCTTTGAGATCCATTTCGGCCTGTTAATCCTTTCAGCATCTTTGTCTGTAGGCAGAGCGAGGAGGCTTGTCAAGGATTTCAAGGACAAGGTCAAAAGCGAAGAGGAGATGCATCGATCCCTCGAGAACACGAGGAAGGACTTGCTCAGAATTCTAGATTCTCTCACAGCAGCAGAATCGAATCAAGAGGTGAAAGTTGGAGGACGCAGTTCCATAAGCTCCAAGGTAAGTAAGAGAGGAACTCGTAAAAATCGTTCTTCTTGGGTTCTTTCATCCCTGTCTCTTGGTTCATAGGGATACCAAATCACAGTGGAAGATCTTCAAGCAGTGAACAAGGAATTCCATCGGCTCTCACTGGCAGAAAAGCACCTGCAGTCCAAGCTGACTAGAAGTCGGATCAAAAGGAAATTTGCCAATAGAAGAAATTCCAATAAGACCAGCGTCGTGAGACAGAAGAATCCTTTATTGATTTCCAGAGACAAAGCAAAAAGAACCATCATGATGGGTTCCAAGAGGACAGAAAAATAAAACTCATTTCTCTTGTACACTATGCAATCAAGACCAGTTGAAATGGAACTGAGGAGCATTAGGCCAAATCATGTCTAAACTCTTCAAGCATACAAGAGTACCAACAAACTTACTATATCTAGTTTTTTTTTGCATTTTTTCCTTTTGTAATTTTTTTTTGTCCCATTTTGTATTTTTCGAGGGCCAATATTCATGTAATGAGACTGCAATGTCAAGCATTTGCTACATAGAGAGAGCCTGTGGGTGCTATGGCACAAAGAGAGGTAAAGAAGAATCCAAGGGAGCCAGAGCATCGTGACAAAGATTTCCCCTTCCATTTATACAGAGTGAAATGGGAAAAAAATAGCTAAACAAACAAAGGGTAGGGGGGGGGGGGGGAACTCCTGTGCTTCCCTATGGATTAAATTGCACAAAACAATCACCAGAGTGCGAATGGTAACAGGAAATGAACTCTGTGGTCTATTCGATGGAGTAGACCATAGCGATTTGATCAGGACTGAGGGGAGAAATATCCATGCCAGGAGCCACCAGCGAGAAACCGAGGAACATGAACGTCTTCACCAGCAGAGCTGCAACATTTTCCAACAGTTCGGTTCAAGGCCTCATCTGAGAATAAAGCATCCCTGAATGTTCGGAATAAAACTCACCTCGATCGGAAGAGGACTTTGGAAAGTACACGATGACTTGTGTGCACTCCAGCACTTCCTCTGCAAACTCCAACAAGGATACAAAGCTACAACAACAACAAAAAAACTCGGTTAAAGGGGGAAATTTACGGGGAGATAAAAGAAAATAATGGCATGCGAGAATGGACCAACCTTTCCTTCGATCCTTGTGGCATGAGACCCGGTGGTACAGAGACGAAAAGTTTGTGACGCCAGAGAAGAGTGTTCCAAGTCGCTGCGGTGGCTTCGGCCAGCTGAACGTTGAAAGAGATGCGAAGAGGCTCGTTAGAAGAAAGCAGTGTCTGAAGATCCTGGACAGAAGGCTCTTTGTCATTCCCCACACCGCTGCCCTCTGTGCTGCAAATGCTTGACAGTACGTCGGCGGCATGGGGGTCATCAGGAGCACCACCGAGGCCCCGAACCCAGACGGATACTCAGTTGCTTCACCTGCCGCATATCACCGCTCCCGGTCAGCCTCATCACCTTCATGAAGCTGCGCCCCGCAAGATAGATGGGAAAAATTAATCGCCTCAGTGGGGGTTGATGGATTCGGTGATCGGATGACTCATCATGCATACGAGAATGAGGGTTCGCGTGACACGATAAAATATCGGCACCATCAAAGTCCATATCATTAAGTACTTCAAAGGAAAATTCCAACAGAGATAGGAGGCACATGGAAAGTAAAATAAGAACTCAATGGATTATTGACGCAGAACGAGTCATTATCTGCAATGCATCCGAGTTGAATGCAGAATTAGATTAGTATGAGCTTGCCTAAACAGAAAAAAAATAAGCGTGCTTGTTATGGTGATGACACTGATGCTTAATACGAAGCTGGGAAATGTCATCAGGAAACGGCGTAAAATACTGGGCAGTACCACATGGGAAGTGGGTCTCAGGTTACAAAAGCGACGAATGAAAGCATGGTAGTTTTCTCTTGTATACATGAACCCTCCCATGAAAAGAAACAAGATCGGTCGGTGTACATCGTCACGAAGGGAATACGACGATACGCCGACGAAACCTACTGGGGATTCCCTCCAATGGGGTCAGATAACTTAGTTTATTGGGGTCGAATGGGAGTACCTTGTCCCTAGCAACAGGGAATGCGTCTCCTCCTATTGCAATGTACTTCCAAGGGCCTAACGAGATCCTTTGGACTCGTCTCTCTTCTCCACGTGCTTTCTTTTCCGGACCCCTGCCAAAAGCAAAGGAATGAAGGATCTTCTTTTAGTCCTACCGGATCTTGCGTCTCGTTGTGGCCCGATTTGAAAATCTATTTCCGACTCTGGAGTCCTCACGGGTCTTCGCTGCGTCTTGTTTACGTTTTTTTTTATGGTACCGTGCCGAAAATGAAGGGCGCGAAAACGGGCTGGAAAATGACTCGGAATACCACATAGGAAAGAGAGATGCCTCCCCGTCGTCTTTGGCCGGGATCCAAGGGCGCCCGAGAAAGGAATTCTATCGACCCGACTCCATTCTCTCCCTCCAAGTTCATCCCACCTTTTTCGCCTTGCGAACCCCTGGACCCCAGGCCCTTCAGTTCAAGGACCTTGGCTTGGACCCGGGGCGAAGAGGTCCGGAGATAAGGGAAAGGCCAAGCCAGTTTCTTATCTCTGCCTGGCTTCCAAACTCCGTCGAACAACAACTACGTATAAGCAGACAAGAGTACAAGATACCCTCCTTTTCGTCCTTCGAGAACCATATGGTGATGCTTCAATAGAGGAAGAGCCTTATCGATTCGGTGGACAGGCATTAAGTACCTCACGCGATGTAAAAGTGCAATGAGACTTCAACACGCAACGATACATCGATTTCGTCAACGTGGAAAACCCATGCGGCTAAATCGGTGCATGCGTGGTAATTCATGACAACCTTCAAAGTTTCATGGCCTCGTCCGAGTCTACGGCTCGCCTCGTATTCAATTTCACTTCTTTCTCTGAATCGATTCCGTTCTCGGAGGTATGAAAAAAACATGAACCAAACCTCCTGATGCTTAGAAATGGATGCCTCTGCGTTTGTGAACTCCAGAAAACCGGTGTCGTGCGTGCGTGATTGCGCCCGCACAACCCCAACCACCACTGTTTACATTTTCTATTCCTAGAATTGCCCCTTCAAATGGCAATTGGCTTGGTTCTATGCTCACTTAGAGTAAATTGCATGAGGAAGAAGCTTCACTTGCTGCATATGGGCAGTACACGGATAGTACTCCTGCAGAAAAGTGGCGTCAGCATGCTATAAGGGTGTGAGGACTCAGCATCAAAGCAGCTGAACGAGCCCAGGGTGGTGGAAGGGGGATCGAGCCTTCTGCTTGCGCCACTCAAGTTTCACAACAGCCTAACAGGCGCAGGAGGCGCTCATGCGTATGCCCTCATACCCTTCAACCCTCCTGTAACCCCAAGCAGGCAATAACCCCCAAGGATAACCTAAATTAGGTCTTCATGGTTGTTCTGAGGAAACGCTGACACGATTTACTTTCAATCACCGGCTTTTAAAAACTCACCGGGAATACCTAGTGCTAAGTTTCCATTCACTAACTTCAAATATCAAAGGAAGTGTACTTACTTTCATTTGGAAAATTGGGCTTTTTCGCCATTATACCTTAAAGGAACAAACCTCGGCATTCAGATGGAACGAAGTTACCACTAAGACTCGATACGAGTGCTCAGCTGATTTGGTTTTTGAAATCGAGGGGCCTAGGCCCAAGTCAGGGTCAAGCCTAGGCTAGGGTCACGTCTGGCACTAATTCTACTAAGGTAGGCTCAATTCTGGTTAACACCGACAAGGCATGCGAGGTAGAAAAGACAAATGAAGAAAGAAAATCGCACCTCTTCATGTTGCAACTGGAGGAGAAGCTGTGCTTCATCTCTAACCCTTCTATATTGTCGTGATTACAATTAAACACTTCACTAAAGCTTATAGTCTGGCTCATCGTGGGCGTCCGCCACAACTCCGTTGGATGAGATCCTCACCCAAAAAAAAAGACACACGAATGCAAAACTTGTCACTACCGAAGCTTCTGAAGGATGAATGGCGGACAGTGGTTCGATGGCTCGCTCGCACTGCCTGGCCTAGAAACAGCGACGTCGCACTTTCCTCCCTTTCCGCATGCGCCGCACAGCACTCCCCGTCTTCCTCCGACATCTTGTGGCACTTTTATACACTAAGAGCTGCGGGAATTAGAGGAGAGAGGTAGCTCTCAGTGTGAAGGAACCTTCGCTTCTGCCGGAGAGCCTAGTTTTAGGACACGTGAAGCGTGTCTGTCCACTTCGTGTGCTCTGGATTATCAGCATTACCTATGAGCTAGATCATGCCGGTCTACTTTCTTCCTTGGAGATATCTCATAGCAGGAATGCCTTGGCATTCACAGTCGACGAAGTGGAGTTGCATCACTACCAAATTGTGAGTTTACACGGAATCCAGGAAACACCAGAAGCAGGAGTAATCAGTTACTTAACCCCCCCCTCCTGGAATACGAACAAAACATTATGCACTCCAACATCTGACAAAGTTAATCGAAATCACATGCGCTCCATCGGTATTTGGCTGGAAGAGCGGAGTAGTCTGTCTATTTTGTTATATCATTGGTCAATTTTTGTGAAATACTTTTTTCGTTACTCTACATATTTTGCAGTCGAGAAAACTCTGAAAGATTACATTGACCAAACTGCAGTTTGTGGTTCCGATGAGTGCAGCAGAATGAAGCCCCCGTATCCATTTTGGCCCCCTTCCCCCAATAACCTTTTTCTCCCCTGAGACCCCAGCTACGCCACAGCGTCCCAGACTTTCGGCCTCCTCTGATGTCCATCCGACGATAGATTTTGTAGAAAAACAAAAAAGAGTTATTCGAGAAGTATGCACTTCCCATGGACGAGACTTAGCACGTGACCCTGTTGGCCTAGTAAGCCGTGCTTCTAACCTGGCGTGAATCGGGTCTAATGAAAGTGCTTAAGTTTTTATCCACCTTGACGGTGTCGAAGATCGTCGCCTCCGACCCGATTCCCTCAAAGCAGAGGCTCCCTATCGAAGGCCCCATCGCACGTCCCCCCAAACTTCTCAAAGGAACAGAGGAGTGGAAGCGGACCCGACTCCTTTCATAGCGAGTGAGCGAAGGCCGTCCGAGCGGCACCAGGCCCATTCTCAGCGTCGACTGAATCCCAAATGCCAAATGTCGCGAAACTTCGTTTCGGGGTCTTCTACGCTTCACCATACGAACCTGAACCTCCGAACGAATACAACCGTGAGTAAATAGACCGAGGACGTAGGAAACGCGCATTTGCAAGGGTGGCTCGTAAACTTCTCACTCTTCCTAGTGCGGAGTAGAAGCGGGTAGAAGGCTCCCTGAGGCTTCCCCTTCTCCACATCTTTTTTCCAGTTAGATGCATATCTACCTGACTAGATGAGAGAGTCGAGTTGTGGCATACGCATTCGTGGAACCTACCCTTCTCCGGGCTATTCAGAGTCGTTTCCTTCCCCCCCCCCACTTCCTCACTTTTCGAGAAAGTTCTCGCTCCTGTGTGTGGACTGTGGATTGAGACGTTCTCACCAAAATTAGATGGGTTGGCCCACCTGAAATGTGTTCACGACCTCGAGTTGGGATGACAGTATATACGAAAATGCCTCAAGTCCTACTCTAAACCTTCAATCTTGAACGTTGAAAGATATGCCTCAGGCCTACGAGGCCACCAGATGTGTTTGAAATGTAGCAGCAACAAAAAAAATTGCAAAGAAAAAAAAAGAGGAATCTGCGGCCGAAAGCTTCCCATACAAATGCAGGAAATTCGAAGAAATCCGACAGCCCTTCGGTTGGACAGGAGCGAAGGAAAAGAAAGAAATTCGTCGTGTTCTTTCACCCTTTAAAAGCAGAAAGCTTTACGGAAACGATGTGTTCTCGTTCCTAACATGGGCGAAACCAAATCGGCTTGAACCCATTCCACTCCATGGGGGGATTCCAACGTAAATCCGTTTTACCGAGTTAATGTCAATCCCACAGAAGCCAGTGTAATAATGAATGCATTCGATTCGATAGCGGTTTCACGCATCTCGCCCTTAATCTCTGCCAGAAGATTGGAAACCTGTTAGCAACCTCGGGAAGGGTCTCGGCTTTGTTTTCGTGTTTCCTGTACATATGCTTCCCCGCGTCGTCGCGGTGAAGACCTCACGCCTTCGAACGCGACGAATCGCGGAGAGCGTCGGTTCCGTCCGGTCGTGATGCAGCGAACCGGCACTGCGACGCTCCGGCCTGTGCCCACGGACGGCAACGGCAACGGCACGCCTCCAGGGGGAGGAGGGGGGAGAGGGGGGGGGGGGGGGGGAGGGGGGAGGGGGGGGGGGGGGGGGGGGGGGGGGGGGGGGGGGGGAAGGATGGACTTCCCCTCGAACCATTTGAGATCTGGCGAGTGAGAGGATCTCTGAATTTCCTTCTGTTTCTCCAGTGTCGCTCCCGTGGAATGAGAATTTCATGCATTCTTCTCGTCATAACCCTTAAACTGCAAAGTTATTTATGGCCACTCTGAGCTCCTCGTGCTAAATTTTTCTTTTTTATTCACTAGGATTTGTGAGATTCGTCGGGAGAGAAACGTTCTCTCCGCTTTCCTCGACGGCTTCAGAATTTTTAATCAAAGAATAATAAAAGTTTTAATGACATTCCTTTTTCCAAACGGGGAATCTACCATAAAGTGCGTAATTGTTGTCGCGGATAGAGCAAATAACTTTTCTCTCAATTATTAGAAGTTTTACGAAATTTTGACGATGAGAAAGTTGATGAACACAATATGCAGATATCCGATGCCATCAGAAAATTATACGAAATTTCTCTAATACGAAGTTTCAAAATAAATTTTCTTTTTACTCATTGCAAATTTTATCGGAACACATTCGAGAGGCCCATCCGAATAATTCTCGAGTGCCACAAAATTAGAACATATTATCTGTTGGGACCTCCAATTTTTCACTTCAACTCCTGCATAGATCTGAAAAGCTTAAAAATGTAGAACTTCTGGACGATGTGAGAAATATCAATTTACCTCTATTTACTCATTTTTAAATTACTGAAAGAGTGGTTGATGGTAAATGCAATGAAATAGGAAGCGCAAATTTTTTAACAGGTTGGAATTCCGATAACCGCTATCTCCGTCACAGTTTTGTAATTCACTAGTATCGACACCTGCTAAAACACACCTTGACAGAGCTGCTGTTTTCGTGAGCAACAATAGGGTAGACTCTCTGAAAATGTTTCTTCTTATGAAAAGTTCCTGTTATCTATTCGGGAACTAAAAAGTTTCAAATACTTGTCAAGAGACGAGATAACATGCCCCTTTTGGTTTTACGTCGTTGGAACAAACCTGACGAGCGCATCGAGAGCCAAAATGAGGCAATCGAGTTCGGTCGACCGAAGCAAAGGGTGTGAAACCCCTAAGATCGAGTTAAGTCGTAAAAGATTTAATGTATCGGATCGCGATCGAATCGACTCGAACGGTGTGCTTCTCGTCGGCCGTCGACCCGGACGGGACACGGAACGCAGGAGTTCGGGGACGGCACGGCGGGGATGGCACGGCGGGGGAGTTGCGAGAGGGTCGCGGCTCCCTTCGATGCTTTCCCCTCCCGTGTTGGAAGGTGGAACGCTTGGCAAGGAACCAATGGAAGCCGGATGAGAGGGGCTGAGGAAGGCTGAGGGAAGCTGAGGGACTGATCATCCGTCTCCCAGCGTCTGCCCCGATAACACCCGGGAGATCCAGCCAAGTATCGTGATGACCGCACGTGGGGGTTTATCCGAAGGAGGGGAGGGGGGGGGGGGGGGGGGGGGGGGGGGGGGG